CCTTCGTCGCGGCGCTGTGACGTATGCGACCGACAAATTCGACCTTCGGAGGACCCGTCCTGTCGTTTTGGACACAGCCATAGTCTCTGCATCCCTTTGTGAGGTCTTACAACTGTAGTGATTAGCGATTAGCACAAAGTTCAAATTTGGCTGTATTATTTTCTCTAGGGAAAAAAACACATTTGCTATGCTCTGGTTCTGACATTGATTAGTATGATTACCTTAAATATTTTTTTTTTGACTGTTAACTTGTTTTCACATCTTCTCACAGTACTTGGTCAGCTGCTCCCTCTGCTGCATGGAAATTCTAACAGCAGCAAAATCATCATCAATGAGTTTCAGGAGTTTTGTCGCCAACAAAATTCCTCATCACCAACTTCTGATTCAGCCAACCAGAGCTCACCTGAAAACATCCCCACCAGGTGAAAAAAAAGTATATATATGTGTGTGCACACACACACACACCCTTGTATTTGCATCAAACGGAGGACTTCGTATTGACTTCCATTCATTTTTGCAACTGTATTTATGCCTAATCCAGACATTTTCCCTAAAATTAACCATTACTGGTCTATAGCTAACCCTAAACTGAACCAAAACTTAATTAACACTATACTTCTAAACCTAACTAGCAAAACTAACCATTACTGGTCTATAGCTAACCCTACCTGAACCAGAACTTATTAACACCATACCTCTAAACCTAACTAGTAAAGTCCAACAGAGCTGCAAACAAAGTGAGGACATTGAAGAGGTCCTCACTTTACATCAAAGACCTCACTTTGATAGTAACTATGGCACAAATAGTCCTCTCTCCGTAGTCAAAACAAGTACACACACACAGGTCTGGTTTGTAAATCCCCGTGGGGACCATGGGTTGACTTCCATTAATTTTTTCGAAATTTTTTAGCCTAACCCTGACCATTTACCCTAAAATTAACCTCACAGGTACCTACCTGACCCTAAAAACAATCTAAACTCAATTCACACCTTGGTCCTAAACTCAACCCCCCCACCCGTAATTTGCATTTGGACCCATGGGGACAGGGCATTGGTCCCCACGATGCACATTTGGTCCCCATGATGTTGCTTTTTCAGGAAAATTGTCCCCACGATGTAGGAAAAACAAGGCCACACACACAAACACACATCCTTGTATTTGCATCAAACTGAGGACTTTGTATTGACTTCCATTCATTTTTGTAACTGTATTTTTGCCTAACCCAGACATTTTCCCTAACATTAATTATTACTTATTTATTCATAGCACTAACCTGAACCTAAACTTAGTATAGTCAGTAAAGTACTAAGTAAAGAATAACAAACTCTCATCACAAGGAAAACGCCAGGACTCGCGTACAGAAAAGACATCATGTTTTCCTCCAAATGCACTCGTCCAAAAACATCCTCGTTAAAATCCTGCTGCAGTTTTATAAAAGAAAGTTATCACCTCTGAAGATCCTCTGCATAATGAAACTCCCATTCACAGAGTCCAGATTAGCATAGAATCATGTACATGCATCTCATCAGCATACCTCAGACGCTGATGGGGGGTAATTATGCATCTTCAGGCTCGGATGAGGGCCCATGAATGGGTGAACAAGGTGGAACAGCCTGCCACTCTGGAGACAGTTAAGGAAACGCAGGACAAGCCAGGAGGAGAAGAAGAGGAGAAGAAAGACGGAGGGCCAGAGGAGGAGGAGGAGGAGACGGAGCGCAACCCCAGATCTGTGGAGGTCATTTGATCATTTTGTTTTTATTTTTCCTACAACCTCAACCCCTTCTCAGCAGCCAGAGCCTGAATAAATCTGATGTTTTCACTTTCTGTTTGTTTGTTTGTTTGTTTGTTTGTTTGTTTCTTCCCTCTCTGCAGGTCGTCTACCTGTCGTCAGTGGGCAGTCTGGCCGAGGTGACGGCTCGCAGCATCGAGCAGCTCCACAAGGTGGCAGAGCTCATCCTCCACGGTCAGGAGCTGGAGAAACCAGCCAGAGACCAGGCGCAGATCCTCACCAGGTGCGAGCGTCGCTGTTAATGAGAGGAAATAAATCATAAACACATCGAGGGAACCCAACAAATAAATAATAAAAAAAACACTTTAGGAAAGACATAGTTTATGATAATGATACGGTGCAAGTAAAACTGTGAACTTTGGATGAGTTTTCCTAAGAGAACTCTTAGAAATAAAGATAATGATGTTAAAGTTGCATGAAGAGGTTTTAGAAACGTTGGTTCTTTATGAAGCAAAAATGTGTGCTTGATTAAAGCACAGTGTTGAGGCTGAACCTCGCTGTGGAATAATCAATATGTTTTGTATTTCCAGGTTGACTTGTGCCATGTGTAAAGAGGTAGACTGCTTGGCTAAGAGGTTCTCTGATACGCTCCTTCTTGTCGGGGTAGGTGAGAGTTTATCTAAATATTCTGGGAAACTGTTTTTGCAGGCTGCCATGGAAGGCAGTTTGTTATTCGTTTGTGTATCTGTGTGTTTGAAGCTCAAATCTGGTGTGGTAGTCAGTGGCGGAGCCAGACATTTTTCTCAGGGTTGTCTGGGTCCAATACTCACACAGTGGTGGCCAGGATAATTACATAAAATTTTACTTTAAAGTTTCTGCAGATCTTTGTGTTTTGGTCATTTCCTTATGTACTTAAACAGAAAGGGACTACCTTATAAACATGGGCATCAGAACCATTTTAAAAGTGAGGGTAACACACTGTTGGGGGGTCTGGGGTTCCTCCATCAGAAATTTTTGAACAAAATAGATGCCATTTCCTGCGCTCTGGTGTATTTTACCAGGTTGTTAAATGTAATTTTACCTACATAAATAAACACTTGATTTAATAATTATTTCACAGACAGATTCTTCATTAAACTGGTTCCATCATCCTGTTTTAAACTCACTGCTACAGCTGAGATAAGATTAATTAAAGTAACACAATTTATCATATCCAATGACTATATGGGTGCTTTTTACTTTTATATTATTTATTGGTTTATTTTTAATCGTAACACATCATTGTGCCAAATAATGATGACCTTCAACTTCATGTTTAAAACTAATATTAATAACTTTACCCAGTGAACAGGTGCAATATTGATAACCACCAATAGTGATTTAGAGGGGTATTCCACTATTTCTGATTTAGTAATAGGTCTACTCATAACCACAAAGGGACAGAGCATCATGCAGCCTTCAAAACATAAAATGACACTGTGTGTTATGGTGACAAAAACAAACAAAACAAAAAATAATTTGTCTCCATAAGTCCAAAAGTTGTCAGACAGGCTGACTCACTTCCTATTTTTAAAACTGCTCTTAAAACACATTTTTTCTTCTTGTCTTTTAACTCGGTTTGAGATGTTGGTTTTTGATGTTTTTTGTTTTTATGATATTGTCTCATTTTACTTAGTTTATTGTTTTGTGTATGTTTTATGTGTTTTTAATCATGTACAACACTTTGGCCAAAGACAAAATGACAGCGATAAAATGAACATTTTATAAAAATAATTCAAACTTGTCAATAAGTCAAACTTGAGTGACTGAAAAAGATCTGCACACATTTGATGCTGTCAGTATTTCAAACAGTGCAGATGGTTGAGTCCAATAAATACTGAAGTCACAGTTAATCTAAACCAGCGGTGTCGATATTTATTCAAGAAATGTTATATAATATATAATTTGTCTTATGGAAAATTATATTTTATATGGCATTTAGAACATGCATGACAGATAAAGAAAAAATATTAAATTAAGATACATTACTAGCATTCATTTATTATGCATTACTCTCTATCAACAACTTCTTTATTTATTATTTCTTAGAGATAGGATTTTATTACAGTTCAGACAATTGGGTAAAAAATGAAAACCCTCTCCAAAAATCCTGTTATTTGACTTTAAAATAAGCAAAGAATACAGCAAAAAATTATTAAAGTTGATTATGCGTTGCTCGTACCACACCAAAATCAAAGTTTACAGAAAAATTCTAATTTTAACTGTTTTAAATTGAAAGTTGGCTTGCTGTCATGAGAAAAAGGCACTAAAAAACAGGAAACTATTTCACATTTAAAGTATTACGTTTGGGGCCAGATCAAATGTTAACGGGGACCAGATTTGGCCCGTGGACCTTGAGTTTGACATGTGATCTAAAGGTTTGTGTCAGTCATTCCAACAGAGGTAATTACAGACAATAAAAGATTCCCGACATCAGGCTTCCCCTTCAGACAACATTTGTTAGTAATCTTGGGATTGGTGATATGTAAATAATTTTTTTGATGTTTTTGTCTTTGTACTTGTGTTTTCCGCCCATGCAGTTAATTCTGACTAAATACACCGGAGACGGTGAGGAGATTGGTTGATTGATCTGATGGTAATCTCATCTGTACTCTTGTATCTCTTTCAGGCCCAGAAGAAAGCAGAGGAGTTGAATCCATTAGTAGACAGCGTGCTGCAGGAGGTAAGAGCATTCTGGGGAGAAAAAACGGATATAAACCAAGAAATAAAACAAGCAATGTCGTGTTATTTTTTTTTTTTTACATGATGACCATGAGGAATTGACACTGATCTGAGAAATAACTTGTGTAATTTAATATTGGCAAAGAGAAAACTTGTGCAGAGGCTTGGAGATGAATCAAATTGGGTATATAACAAAATTTCTTCACTTGTACATTTGGAGCCATTTTACCTCAAAAATGCAGAAAACATACATTTATTTTACCTTCATTTTGGATTCTCTTGACTTGAAAAATCTTATTTCGTGAGTTGTTTGGAATCAAATGAAACATGCCGTGGGTTAAGATGTTCCTTCTACATCTCGGAGCGAAACAAATTCCCTTTAGGACAAAAAGCAATCATCAACAACAAGTGGGATATTTTGCTTGACAAGATGAGAACTAATACTTTATTTTCAAGTATTTGATCGAGATAGTTGTAGTCCAACTAAGCCTGAAGTTATGTGGGTGGTGTGTCTCTCTTCTTGGATGTCCTGATTGTCCCACCCTTTCTTTCTCTATTAAACTGTAGGTTGTCATGAATAATGATAATAAGTATAGAAATGATGTTTTTTCTGTCTGCAGGGCACCAACAGCACCGACTACATCCATAATGCATTTCAGCTTCTGCTGCCGGTCCTGCAGATCTCGCACATCCAGAGCCAACCTGCTGCAGAGCCTGCTGCCCAGTTACAGCACTGACACGCCCACTCCATCACTGACATGCCCACTCCATCACTGACACGCCCACTTCATCACTGACACGCCCACTTCATCACTGACACGCCCACTTCATCACTGACACGCCCACTTCATCACTGACATGCCCACTTCATCACTGACATGCCCACTTCATCATTGACATGCACACTGCATCACTGACACGCCCACTTCATCACTGACACGCCCACTCCATCACTGACACGCCCACTCATCACTAAAAAACGCCCATTGCATCACTGACATGCCCACTGCATTACTGACATGCCCACTGCATTACTGACACGCCCACTTAATCTCTGCCACGCCCACTGCATCACTGACACGCCCACTTCATCCACCTGCCTTAATATACAGCTGGACAGAAACAGTTACTCACTGCTTTTATCCACAACAAGTGGTTATATTAAAAACAAACAAATAACAGGAACATAAAGTGTTAATAAAATTAATAAAAAAAAATGAAAATTAACAAATAGTACTGATTTAAATGAGATTGTATATGTGACTACCACTTTGTATTTATGAATATTATTATGGCTTTTTTGCAGTTTATATAAACTGCTCATTCCGTGTAATAATCAACCAGAGTTTAAAAAAAAGGCTCCAATGGGGCTTGGCCCACTCACATTACCCATTAGACTTTTTACATGAATAAAATACTAAACAATGTTATAGAAACATTATTACTAAACCTAAGTACTACCACACAGCTGCTGCTGAAACAGAATCATTGGGTAGGAAAGCCTTCACCAGACTGCACTCACATTATGAAATCTGATAAAAAAAAATTTAGGCTGAGAAGTAATGACTACGTGTGGATCTGAAGAGAAAAGTCCTGTTCTGATAGATTTAAAAAAAAATCTTAACACGTTCCTTTTGCTAATGTTGCCATCTAATAACACACAACTGAAACCTTATATTTGTGCCTTTTTTCTGATTCAAATAAAAATCAGATTAATTCGTTTTGCTAAAACAATTTTAGCAATTTATTTATTCTCTCATCAGCAGAACAAGAAACAGAAACTAGTAGATTAGAATGAAATGTTATTGCTTCCTTTGCACTCCTCGTAGTCACTTGTGATTTCAGGACAAAACACCAATGTCTCTTTAGTTGTTTTCATTTTAGTTTGAAACTAAATACTAGCATTTCTGGAAAAAAATACAGTAATTATTTTTGATTGTTTATTTGTTTTTGTGTTAAATTATGTAAAGCAACACTACAGTTTTTGTTAAATGGTTTGATTTGAAATAAAAAATTGCAATTATTTACATAAAATGGGTTCTGTTCCCTAAGTATGTGCATTAAAAGTGCAGTATGTAAGTTTATTTTTGTTTGTTGTGCTGCTACAATAAAAAAAAACATCGTGGATAAAGATTTTGTGAAGGACAGTTCTTTTCTCTCTCTTTCTAATTTAGATGAACAACATGACTTTGTGCATTAAATATGCTACTGGTTAGCTTAGCTCATAAAAAATGTGACCTGTGTTCATCTCTCTGCATCAGGCCAACAGATACAGACCACAAAATTAAAGTGAATGCACCCTTGTGCACACAAATATGAAAACCATTTCTGAATTTCAAGCCATGTTTAAATCAGCACAAGCATTGACTGATTAACTTATTACAAGCAGGTGGATTCATTCCTTTGGCACAAAAAAAGTGTTTATGGTTGCAAGACTGGGTTTTTTTTTCTGACTAAAAGGCTAAAAGAGATTGTAGCTTCCTGCTTCTCTTTTAATAAGCTCTTTGACAGATAAATGTACCTCTGCTTCTCCACCTTTACAGATCCGTCACTGCAGACAGGAAGGTTATTACACATGCAAAGTATAATTTATGTAAAATGTTTTGGTTTATTTCTGCCACAACCTACAGCCCATGCTTTTCATACAAAAAGACAAAATAAATTACATTAAAGAAGGCAAAAATGTTCATCAGCCAAGAAATTAATTTTGTTTTTAACACTTAACAAATGGTGTACAAATAACTGAAGACAAGATCTTGAAAATCAATCAGATATAACCACCTTGAGGTGAAAATAAGTTTTATTTAAAGGAGGTCAGAGTGATGCGATCAGTTTTATTTGTCTTCAGCAGGTCTTAAGATGAAACCTCTGCTCTTCCAGCTGCTCCTTCATCACCACACCTGTTCCTCTGTGTGGGCGGAGGTGGGAGGATGGCCACGGTGATGCAGATTTGCTAAAGAAGATGTAAAATATAATACGAGTGCAATTTAAGCTTTCTCCTCTTTTTTTCCCCCTATGACCTTAAACATGAATTTCAGCAAAATAATGTCAAGGCTTTTAAAGGTCATCTGAGGAGAAAAATAAATCAGAGGCTTACTTTATTAAAAAAACACTTGTTATATTTTTAACAAATGTTGAAGAGAACTAAACAGAAGGACATGGAAAGTTGATAAAATAATTTTTAACTTATTAGAACACAAAAATACACAGAGTTGATTTTGGACACGTGAGTTCATGAGAAAACTCCACATTAAGAAAACCTTTGAAATGAGTGAATATTTCTCTTTGGGGCTGTAAATAGACACAAATTTATGAAAGAAACATTTTAAAAGATCCTTTTTATTTACCTGAGTAGCAGTGGTCAGCATTTCCATCCAGCAGAGTTTCTACATCATCTGAAAACAGTAAAATTCACAGAAACAAATATTATGTAATTTGTTAAAGTGTTTGTAGCAAGGCTTAATTGTGTTTTTATTATTATTGTTGTTAAACAATAAGATGAAGACGAGTTTTAAATGTACAGTTTGGTTGAAAATCAGGAGGAAAAAAAACAAAAGTTTAACTCAAAGTCAGCTGGAAATGAATGAAAGTCAATGTAACATCCTCTGAAGCCAGGGAAACGTGTGTGTGTGTGTGTGTGTGTGTGTGTGTGTGTGTG